CTATATACATCTAAAAATTTAAAAAGAGCATAACTGGTTGTCCAACAGCTATAAAAACTCGAATAATTCCCAACCAGCACGCGGGCGCCATCTTGGGTAACCGAGCTAGTTATGCGCAAGCGTTGAGTCCTGTGCAACTTCCTGCGGGATCAAGAGAGGCTTTGATAGATTGTGCTGGCATGATTTTTAGCATAATTCGTCATTATATATTATATATATAATTGCAGATGCACGAAAACAAACCCTTGTTTACGAGTTTTCTTGGCAAGACTCAATAACGTTTATCAATTAGAAACTATCATTGCCAAAACAAAGAATAAAATGTCTTTTCATTTATCCAAATGGCAAGCACTCTTGACAGGTGGTACACAATTGCCGACAAATTAAGGTTTAGTAGTATTGATACTGTCGTTGTGTGTAGTGTGTGCTGTGCGTGCGTGTGTGAGTTATTTGTGTATCATTTTTTTAAAAAATTGTAATGTCGGTATGAATGTAAAAATTAATGTTATTATTGTACGGCAAGAAACTGAAATAAACAGTGATTAAATTACAAAAAAAAAAAATTCGTCATTACGAGCAGAAGTTTCCTCTATTTTCCGAAAAAAGTGCTGCTGGAATAATTTGCACTTTTGGCTAGATTTGCAGCACAAAATTGTCTTTTATTGGTCATGCAATCGAATCTTTTGGTCTAAAATCAGTGTTTACAGGTACATTTAAGTTAAAATTGCGTGGCTGAAAAAGGCGGGAATCTTAAAGGCTCCTCTGGCGTTTTAATACCTCTATTTCAGCCTATAACTTCGCATTTTCAAGTTCAAAACTTCGAATTCTTTCATGTTCTTTAGCCTCTTTTGTTTGATCTTCACACGAATTTAATTAAGCTGTTTTCCACATCATGATAAATAATAGCTGCTAATGAAGTACAGGTTTCAAAAGTTGCTTCAGCTGCATCTGCAGTTGTTTAACTTTGAGAGGATTGCATCTCCTTGTTTGAACACTCTGTTGAAGACGAAAGATTGCGACTTTAGGAGGTGCTCTCTTTTTTCGAAGAACTTTTGGATCACAAAAATTGAGATGGAATTACCCTTCCTTTACATAAACACGCTTACCTCCAATAGCTTTAACCAAGTCCTCGGGCTTTTTTTTTTATAAAATGACGAGAGCAGATCTTCGTGTTTTGGTTGACTCTAAACACAGGCAGGCCAAGCTGGTGCATAAGTTACCGCAGGAGCGGATCTAGGGGGAGGGTGCAGGGGATGCGCACCCCTCCCTGAGATGACCTGCGGTTTTCTAATACAACTAGTATTCTGCCAAAAAAAAAAAAAAACTATGTGGTTTATTGGTTTTGAAGTAGATCAAGAGACGAGTGCACCCCCTCGTAAAAAAGATCCTGGATCCGCCCCTGTAGCGCAAGTTTCGATACGACGACTTAAAGACTTTGAGTAAGAAATTCAATATAGTTGTTAAACCGTAGAAATATAGGCATAAATATAGAAATAAATTGTACTTACACAAACTTGGGCCCGTTATTGCTTTTTCTGTGTAACCTGGTCTCAATTCACGCCATTTTATACGGTTTTGCGGCTCGTTGTTTGTTCGGTGTTGTTTTCCTACATAAAGCGAAGCAAGGCAGGTGACTATGTGCAGTCTCAACTCACAAATCTCTCCGGCATGAAACAACCACGCACCGATTCACCATGAAAGCGCCAAATCCTTAAGGCCAGGTCAGTCTCTTATCTCTTCCCCTCGTTATGGGTATTGCGATGTGTTTTTTTGTGGAAAAATTTTGCGAAAGTTTTTGGTTCTGGGCAATCTGACGCGCTCAGGAATCTCGATGACCACGTGTTGCGTGGTAAATTCAAACTGCAAAACTATCGATCCTAATGAGATGCTACTTTCATGGTGTATTAGAGCAGCTGAAAACTAATTTTCAAACAAATTTTCGCTTCAAAAAGGTTCTTGGTTTTGTAATAGAGTAGGCTTGAATTGCTAAGCTTTTGCGCGACGCAGCATTTACATGACGGCCGCGAGAGAGCTGTCATTTAGGTTAAAAAGTGACTTTTTTCGAGGAATTTTGCTATCTAAACAGTTCAAGTATTAGAAAAAGTATTACTTTAATGTTTACGAGTTTCTCTAGGAGTAAATTCACGCTTTTGTAGCAAAACTCGGTAACAGATCTTTCTGTTAGTTTCTGACCGCCATGTTAGAGTTCATCCGGATGAGCTCCAGCATGGCGTCTCCATACAAAGCTCTATAAATTTGGGTAAAACGTTTCCTCGGATATCTCGTATACGAATAACCCCTTCGACCCAAATCTTGGCGAGGGTCTTTGTATATTTAACTCCTTTCATTTCCCAGATTCTGGACTTAATCTGTCGAATGGTTTTCATTTTTATTTTGATCTATTTTGAATGGCGTGACACTGAAAACCAGCAATATGTAAGCATTGATTTTGTCTTCAAAACTGAGGAAATTTGCAATTTCTGGTCGACAGTTATGTGCTATTTCAAATTGGTTTTCCTTTGGTGCAGAATGACAGGGGCACACACGACAAACGAGACTTTTCAGCTTTATCATGAGGGTTGAGGAAGTCCCTAGGTTCGATTACCAACCGTTGTTCGGAAAAATGAGCCTGCACTCATCGCCCGAAGGGAGACGTGGGAGAACAGAGGAAATCGAGACTTGAAAGTCCCGGCCAGCAATTCAGGGGGCTTATGATAGCCTCAAAGTTGAAGTACTGATTTACCCCTTACACTGCAAGTCATAATTTTTGGAAGGCCATTTTAACCCCACAAGGAAGTTTTTTTTCTTTTTTTTTTCATTTAGAGGAGTTACAATGGTAATCCAAAGATAACACTATTGCTAATAACATTTAGAAAAAGTATGGATTTAGATAACTTCAAAACGAAGTTGTCTCCAGACCAGTGTACCTTTTACGACTTGATAGGTGGTTTTGACGGCGGGCGCTGACGCGTCTTTTAGGTCTCAGATAAAACGAAAACAACTAACACCACACTGTGCTTTATTTAGGCAAACGGTTATGAACGCAATGTCTACATTATGCAGGATAGCATTTCGTACCCACAAGAATTTTTCGGTAACGTATGCACGGCAACGCCCGATAACTGAAACAAATCGTTTAACATCACATCAATCATCGTACACGAGCGGCTGGCCAACAAAACTCCGGTTTGGCGCACTAAACCCCAATCCTCACTTCGAATTCTCAATATTTACTTCCGTCTTACTGGGTTCCACTGAGCCCTTGATTCTACTCGTTTACCTCCGCTACGGTCCACTGTGACAAAGAGTGGCAGAAACCTATCCGATATTGTGACGATTCAGTTTCAAGATCGACGCCGCGCAGCTCCGCTAATAGGCTGATTTAGCAACAGAACGGGAACGTCAGTTGACGACGGCGCACGCAAATCAAACAACTGGATTGACCAATGGCAGAGCGACAAATTGGGCACCGGAAGTCGAGTTTAGTCGTTTTCGCGCGCTTTCCCGTTGACAAATGACGTTCGCGTTCTGTTGCTAAATCAGCCTAATGACACCGAAATCACCACGGATATGTGTGAACAGAAGCACTATCCGTATGTTTTTCCGGCGCAAGAGCGATCCTGTACAGTGTGAACATGGCCTACAAGGTATACAAGCCAGGGGCCCGTTTCTCGAAAGTCCCGATAATTAACGGGCCCGGTAAGCTGTCTCCGTTTACATTAAAGATCGAGGTTTCAATAGTTTTGCATCTAACATGTTAAAACTGTCAGTTAATGAAACAAAAATGGAGTTGTTTGCTAGTCAGGACGCGCGCTCTTATTCTTTGTATTTCGATTTGAATATTTGATTTCGGGCCCGTAAAGTTACCGGGACTTTCGAGAAACGGGCCCCAGGGCCGCAACAACTAAATGATCCTTTGACATCCTATCTCTGAGCTATAAATAAGTTTTAAATAAAAATACACCTCACCTATTTTTCACAAAATAAGCAAATAAATAAATAAACTTTCTTAAACTCCCGAAGAGTAACTAAGACTTTTTTTTCCTATTTGAAGTAGTTTTCTGGCCAGTAACAACATTTTAAAGGTAAAAAACTTGACAAAACACTATAACTCGCGCGTTAAATACGCTTAAGTGCGTTAATCCGTGTTAACCAGAAAAAAGTCAACCTTTTTAAATTTAGCAAAATTGTGACAAATCCCCTTTAAATTTGCTGAAAGATTTTTTTGTAAAAAAAAAAACTGCTAAAGATAAGTCTTCGTTTATATGGGAAGGGCACTAACCTTTCCCAACTAGGCACTACACTATGAAACGCTAAATCTGAACAGAGCCGATATGAATGGCAACAGACGTTTGGGCCAGTATCTGGCATTTCCACAGCAAGTGAGGCAATTCAGAAACCTAGCTGTAAAAATATCTTCAAACATGGTTTAGTTCCTTTCCAGTAAGGCAGACGAAACGAAGTGCTCCTAAGAAATAATCTACCAAAAAATTCCTCGGTTTCTTTTTTTTTTTTGGAAACGTAAACAAATGAAAAAATGCCTAAGACCCAAAAAATATGAGACTGCGACATAAGTGAGTGTTTCGAACACTGTACTCTTTAAATCAATACAAAGTTTTTACCAGTAAAAATAGAACTCATTTTTTTGCGTCGGTCAACTAACCTTTCAGCGACCGGCACGCTTTTATAAAAAACGCTGTCAGCGGACATGGCAACTTTTTCTCAGTCGAAATTAACTATTCATGAATGGAAGAGAACGAGAGAAAATAGCGAGTGATAAGGTTAATAACTCGCCAAATAATACGTATTGTAGATCCAATTCCAGTTTCGCGGTCGACTAGCCTGTTTCACGGCCTACTTTCTCATGCTACCTAACCGGTCAAAGCCCACGTGTGACGTAGGCGCGTGCTTTAAAGCAATGCAGTGGACTCAATTCTGACCAATCATTGCGCAGGCCTTTGTTTCCGCAAAGCCAAAAAAAATTAGTCATCACACGGGCCTTACACGTGTATACTGCTACCAGCTGTGCCAATCAGAACTTCAGATTGCGTCCTACGATGCTGACGATCAACCGCTGACAGCTTTTCGTCATTATCCGTACCAAATAACCGCTCCTTTGTTTCTATATGATAAACGGAATTGAAAGTGAAGTCACAACTGTGCCTTTTGTTTGGAACAGGATCAAACACTAACTCTCCTCGGTCAGCCGTTTTGCTTTCTGTGTTCGTATAGAGAATAGCATTTTGAAAATTACTTTTAGGACTGAAACGTTCCTGGGGGCGTGGTTTGTTGCCAGAATGAATAACAGTAGGAAGACTGTTTGTTTTGTCGCTAAAATCCCTTCTCCTCATCCCGTCACTCTTTATTCCGCCACGTTCACCGTTCAAATGTCGATGGGGCAAGTTGTCTGCTGACAAAATGTGACGATTCTTTCCAAATTCATCGTCATTGTGAAAAAGTGAAAAGTCCTCATCGGATGGACAACCCTCCGACGAAAGTCTTACCGATGAAAATCTGCCCGGAGCAAGTTCTTTCGAAAGAAATCTTTTCAGGCGTTTTCGCCTCATGTAGTTTTCCCGTGCAGAAACGGCACTTTTTTCTTCGGAATTACCTTCATTCGTATGAGAGCTTTCTGTACTAGGGTTTGATTCTAAGCGTTTTAAAATGCATTTTTCTTTTCTCTCTTGAGTCTCACTTGAGGGAATGTCCATATTAGGAGACGAAAGATCTTCATCTTCCGGAATATAAGCATTTAAAGCTGCCTCAGTATTCAGTAAAAACGTCTCCTCTGCATCTTCTTGTATCTTTGCCATCCGATCTATCGACCGTCGAAGAGAACCGTACTTTCCTGGTCTCAGGGTGGTGACAACAAAGTTATCGAACTCTTTTCTTTTTGATCGTCGATATTTGCGGTCTCTTCTACGTCGTCTTGGTGACCGCGGGCTCTTTGACAACTGTGAAAAGTCGAATGTGTGTCTCTTATTGGTCTCAGCCGTGTCCGGAGAAGACTGGAATCCACTCGCTCCAGGCTCTATTTCGTCATATGAATGATGCAGTGTTCTCCAATGACTGCTGTCGCTGCTTACGTCAGTGGACTCGCTCTCGTGTCCGTCCTCTAGCTCGGACACAGACTCCTCTCGGACAAGTCTATCTTCTTCCTTGCAAATCTCATTTTCCATCGTCTCTTCAGATGACACACTGTTGGTAACTTTTCTAGCCCTTCGTTTCAAGCTGGAAGATGGAGTAGATGGCGCGTCCATCAACAATTCTATCAACTCATAGCCTTCTTCACGTACTGGGGACATCACCCTACATTTCTCTGGCGACTCTTTAGAAACCTGTTGTAATGCATCTCGCTGGTGACTTTTGTCCAAGACAGGAAATTGCGCGTTAACGTTAGATCTCTGAGGAGTAGAAGCTGCAGAAATCACATCTGGATCCTCAGAAGTACTAACACTCCCTTTCATGGGTGAATCTCTCTCATCTGAAAAAATTCCCTCATCCGCCCTTGGAGTTAATTCCCCAGACAATCTTTTGTTAACTTGAACGCCGGAACATCCTGGTCCTTCATCGGCAAACATTATACTGTCTACTGAGCTTTGTGAGCTCTCTGAGGACAAAGAGAGACAGTCGGAAGAAACGAGACTGTATCGATTACCAAAACTTAACGATCCGAAATTGATTTTTGCAAGTCTCTCTTCGCATTCATCTACAGAGTCTGACCCGTAAGCTTGTTGGTCTGGGTGAAACCAGCTGATAATCTCTCTCGAAGTAGGGCTTTTTGGCGAGGAAAGGCTCGGTTCACTTTTAAAATCTATGCCCCGGCGCGGTGTTACAGACTTCCTCTCTTCTTTTACACGTTGATGACTAACAGTTGCTAAGTCGCTCGCTGCAGTAACAGTTACCTTCTCATTATCGCTGTCCGAAACTCTATCGGGTTTGTTCTTCGATGTTTTTACTGAGCGCTGATCGACTTCGTCAAGAGCTTCCACGTCAACCTCGTTTAATGTAACCACAGATGAGTTTGAAACAGGGCTCATTACCTCGGGGGTGGCAGTAGTCACTGTGATTCGTGGAACTTCACTTGTGACCAGCGGATGCTTAGCGTGTGAGCTGGACGGCCTCACAGGGCGCGCAGGTGTACTGTGAACGAGGATAGAAGAGTCTGGACCAGAGACGTGATTTCCCAACGCTTCTTGTAAAATCTCCTGTGATGCACTGCGAGGGAGAATTTCTAGTTCCAGAGAAGGCTGTGCGCATGCTTGGTGATTTCCACTATGATTTAGGTTTCTCATCAAACCTTCACCTACAATGGTGTCTTCCCCAGACTGCTTTATGTTGCAGTAACCACAGCAAACCCAAGTGTAGGTTCTTTGACCTTCGAATTCAAACGTTCTCTTTTGAAGACAGATTCCTTGAACTGGTAAACTGGGATGATAGTAGCGATAGTACAGTAACACGCAAAGAACACCAAGTGCCAATCCTCCCCACACCACCCCCAAAGCAACGAAGGCGGTTAACCCTTGAAAAGTTCTATGTGGATACCACATGGAAACAAAAAGGGAATTTTCAACCAGCATGACTGAATAGAACAAGACAACGCGTTTGCGAGTCATACCTTCTCGAGTATTGAAAAAGCAAAATATGTACATGAACCCGATCGCTGCGCAAAACAGTTTTTCGCGGCAAGGGTGCTCTCTGCCTTCGTCATCGGTACAAAAACGAGTCCGCTGACAGATCAGCCATATAGTCATTATAAGCCAATGTGCGCCCACGGCAACAAAAACCCATTGCTGGAAGTACGAGGCAAAAAGAACTATGGCAACCACGCGTGATGTTACCATAGAGACGCGCCATAGTACTTGGAAGAACAAGCCCTGAAGTGAAAGTTTGTAGCCTTGCTTTCGAAAGTCGCGTAAAGACTTACTATAAGCTAAAATAGCCCAGATCATAGAGACCAGAGAACATCCCGCGGTGACAGCAGTGAGCAAATCATTTTTCAAGTCAAATGGTCGACGCTGCAGTAAAATGTAGAGCTGTAAAACCAGTTGAGGCGCAGACTCCAAAAAACAGTGAAGAAGTCTTAACATGCTGATGTCGCGCCATTCTCCTAGAAACGTGGCGAATTCCAGGATGCTGGAGTTCTTTTTACGGGCTTTCCAGACACTCGTGATAACTTTCCAGTACCTTTAAAACAAAATAAAACAAAAAATAAGTATCACGGACTGATATGTTAGATTCCGTAATTATTCAACCGTGTAAGAATTAGCCTGCAAATACAGCGGACTCTCAGAGAGTTTAGCCGACTGGTTCATGACCAACTCAACTGTTGTGATTGGCCTACTTCCTCACTCACTTATTTTCCCGCGCTTGGCGTTGGCTACATTTACCGGTAACAATAAAGTTCACCCGATTGGGTCACGAACGATTACGACTGTTGTGATTGGCCCACACGTTCATTTATTTTCACGCGCTTGGCATCAAGTACGTGTACCAGTATTTGTTTAGAGTTCGCCTGGCGCGTTTTGTTCAAACGTTTGATAGCGCTATCCAGCGGATAAGTATTAGGGAAAACGAGTACATTATCCACTGGATAGAGGTTTATCCAATGAATAGCGTCATCCTGTTTTTGAAAAACTGGGGCCTGACAGATTTGTGAACGACTACGACTGTTGTGAATGGCTACCCCTCATTTATTTTCCCGCCCTTGGCATCAGTGTACATGTATGTACCATTTTTTTTCGCACCGGCTCGTTAAAGAAACGGCCGGTACAACATGATTTTACCGATCAGAAAAGATGGCTCCCTATTTTCAAACATAAAATCAAGACAAACGTTTATCACTGTAACCACTCAAAACACTTGGTGGTCATTCATGACCAAATCTGCTGAAATCTTAATGTGTAGTTCAAAAAAATATCCATAAAAATATCTTCCATCTCGGAGGGTGTTATCCACCTCGGCCTTCGACCTCGGTAGATAACACCCTACTCGATCTGCTTAATTCTTCATACCCTCTTCAGCCTCAATAATTAATTGCTAAATAACTCACCAATCTTATTAAGACCCCCAGGAAAAAAAACCTCTTAAAGCACCACCCCCCTTGGAAATTGCCTCCTTTTGGACCCCCTTCCCCTCGGAACTTCCGTTACTCTCCGTGATGGAGGGGGATGTGGATATTTCCTAGAACTGAAAAATGCTAAACAATAACCGACGCCAAGCGCGGGAAAATGATGTCCCTATTGTTGTAATCCAGAAATTTTGTTTCCATGGTTAAAGTTACGTGACGTCACACTTCTCCTCTCTATTCTAAAATTTTTAAACTGTTGTTAAATCTTTCCCTTACTCATTTAAGGGCTCAAAGAGCCTGTTATGAAAAGGTGATTTGAGCCCCGTAATGCTTAACGAAATATTTCATGACAGTTTTGAAAATTTCGAAATTTACAAGGATTTGTATTGAAAACCATTCAAGCGTAACTGGGTGCCTTGCTGGAGAATATGAGACTCAGTGAGGCAAGAAAAAAATGAGCCTCATTTAAAACTGCGGCGTTTGCTCTCCAACTATGCCTGTATTTGTAGCGGAGCTCTCGTGCGCGCGAAGCGCGCAGCAGAGCACCATGGTAAGAAAATTTGGTAACCAATGCATCAGGGAAATTTTGGTAGTCACGTGACCGTACGCCCGCCCACCCAACCGTCCGTCCGCACCACAGGCATACCAATGTAAAATAACTAAATCAAAATACAGGTATGGCAACTTGAGATTATTTTGGCGGGAAATCGCATAGCCACCCGTGTCTTGTGAAGAAGAGACAACTAAAGAGTCAACAAAGACGAAAACGGAAAGCAGAAATTGTTTCTGTATCCGTGTTGTCTAAAGTGTTAAGCTTAGATTAATTGTCATATCCAAAAATTTGGAGAACAGAGAAAGAGAAAGACAGAGAAAAAGAGAAAGTAGGCGACAGGCCAGCGAAGCTCAATGAGAAAAAGAGCTACAGACAGCTAGAGCGAGAGATAAAAGATAAAGGAGACATTTTTTTTGTTGGAAGAACATGAAAATTTTGTAGCGGCGGTGGGAAAATAAGAAATTCTAGAGGCCACTAAGGTGAAAATGAGCGGCAGTGAAAAATAATGAACAAGAAAACGTACAACATTTCCTCAATTAAACGTGTAACCAGGAAGTTTCTGGAAGTTTCACCTTGTACAGTAGTCGTGTAAAACAACGGCAAAGAAATGTACAAAAAAAGTGTGCTGCACATGCAAAGTTGCTATTTTGCTAATAAGACCTATTGTTTTTTTTCACTGTTCACGTTTCCTTCGCTGCTTAGCATTGCACGATTGGGCAGTGTAAAGTGCAAACTGCGGACTGTTGTTTTTAGGGTTAGAAAACAGTGTGACTATTGTTGTCACGTTCTCATTTGCATAGTGAAAACAATAGTTCGCAGTCTGCGTTTTAGGGCCTGTCTGAATAGAGGTGGAGGACCGCAGATAGGTGAGGTAACATGCGGCGGGTGACCCCACCTAACATGTAAACGTGATAAAATTAAAATGAGAGATTATATGGCCAGGCGAGTTACCCTACCTACCTGGGGTCCACCACCTTGATGTAAACAGGCCCTTACACAGACCGTTACACGATTATATATTTTGTTGGAGCAAACTATAACTATTATCGAGAGCTTCGCTTTTCATATTTCCATGTGAATGGCTTAACAGCAATGGGCCCATTTTTTAGCTGGCTGTGCTTTCATAAAGAGTTAGATTTCAAAATAATTCTTTTAAAGCTGATCACGTCTAATTGAAGTGTCGCTAAATAAAAGGTTTAATGAACTGAATAATGGCCCTGTACGACTCCCTACTATTATATTCTCAAGCTAAACACGAACAAACAAATTCCATTATGGACACATGTAGAACCAGCTAAAAGATTGGTCATTTTAAATACGCATAAGGACTTAAGGACTTTCAGCTACGATACTTTTTGTGACAAAAACTAACGATCGGCAACTTTTCAATAAATTTTTAAAATCATATGGATGTGAAGTCTTGAAGCACAAAATCGACTTCTCACTACAAAGGTTTTTGAGGCAAGAAAATTATTCATGTGTAACATAAAGAACGCGTCAATTCGCTGTTTTTTATTCACTTCTTACAGCTGAAATGATTACAGACAATTATTTCCCAGTTGATGGTGGGTTGAACCAAGTTCTCACGCACGACTGCAAGTTCATTTGTCGACACACGGCGTCACTGTGAATGTTTGGTTATAAGTGAAACCAAAACAATTACAAACTAACAAACCTTGCGGTGATTAAGTGCAATATTTAGATTAATATCTGGCCATATTTAAGCTGAGGCTCAGATAAAGCGATTTTAACTTTGTGCTGGATCAATCAATCACCCAAAGCCGATAGATTCGCAGCATGGAATAAAAGCATAGCCGCTCGAACGAAGAAATACAAAAGCCCTTACTTAACAATAATCATTGCCAATGGTAATAGCCTGAAGCCAGGTAGACGAAGATATGTGCTAAAGATACACAATCCGTTGGAAAGACAATTGATATCAGAACGGGTATTAAGTCTGAAGACGAGCATACTTTGGCATCGCCTAGATATGAATTTTTCTGAAAAAGTTTCACTTGTATTATGTTGAACCATTGTACGTTTTTTCTTTGCTTTATTGTATTGCTGAATAAATATATTTAATAAAACATGCGAAAGAAAAAACATAAAAAATGTTCTACCAAAGTTTACCAGGGGCCTATCTTGCTTTAGCGTTTAGCGTTAGAGTGCAATAACATCTAGCCTTAGGTATCGGCTCCTGTTTTAAAGTATTCAGAAAGATAGAAGGACAAGCAGGCAAAAATGGAAGCAACACAAACAACACTTCAGCTGCGAAGCGAATTTGCATTCATGTGAAATGAGAGCAATTTAAACACATTCTGACACGCACGAATTCTTAAATCGAATAAGAGTGATGAATTTGTTTCTACATCTCACGCTAAAAAAGCGTTTGTACATTTGTAAAGGCGATGACAGAATTCGTTGCGTGTATAAAATCGTCCATGGAAAACAGCAATGTGAAAAGATGAATATTCATGTATGCAGGCCTCCTGTAGAAAGTTTTCGTGCGATAAGGAAAAAGATCAAAATCTTAGATGTGAGTCTGAGCGCACACATACTGGTGATCTTTCGGTGAGCGGACGACGGCGATCTTTGATGTAACATTCACTTTCTTATTCATCTCACGAATTCACTTTTATGTAAAAATCTGAAAGACGAAACCAGAAAAGTCGCCAGACATAATTTAAGGAGCTCAAACCGAGTTCGTTATTAAAAGTAGCAAAGATACTAATTCGCGGATTGTAGCGCGTGGTTTCTGGTGGTCTTTTGTCGCTACAGAGATTACCGCACTATCACAGACAAGTTTCTGGAAGAATTACTCACTCGCCGATTGCATTATTTTCGCCCTGATATAAAATTCTACATGAGCAAACAATTGTTGACGAAATATTTTTGGCAATCCGGCTATCAAACGAAATGTCGGGAAAGAACTAAATGAACGCAGTGAGAGACAGGCTAGAGGAAAATATAGCCAACAGAAATTGAAATTAGCTCATGGAAAGTTATCTTCCTTCCGTCAGAAGAAAAAAAGAACTGATCAGAGGGAATGTGATTTTAGAATTCCCATGAAGTTTATTTTGGACAAACAAAGACATAGAAAACCAATCTCATTGTGCAAATATTAAAAGCTTATACAGTATTGGCGAGAGAGAAAAAACTTGCATCATTTATAAAAGTTTTAAATAACATGATCAAACACGAAATGTTTGGAAAGAAACACGATCCAAGTTATTAATTGCATTTGCTGGGAAGGTTTAAAGTTCTCGCTTATAAAGCAAAATGGAAAATCGCCAGGACGATACAGCTGACGATATTCATATCAACCTACGCCAAAAGAGCTTTATATCAGGCTGATAAGTGTCTGTTAAATTGTCATCCCCGAGGCGGTATGTGCTAAGCCGACAAGAAGTCAAGATTTAATTCTTAACTTAAAAAGCTGGGTTGGTTTTCCAAAGTCACCCGATCATTAAGTTTCTTTGTATAGTAATGGTTTAGAGAAGTAAAGAATGCGCTAATTGCCTTGATACATTGATCATCGCTCTGCCTGTAATTAAGAGCAGGGCGAAAATTCACTTGATCGATATTAAAGTGAATCCGGAAATTCTCAAACCGTAAGAAAGGACAGGATATTAGGCTAAAACATGAAGTAACGGCTGAAAGAAGTTCAGCGAGACAAAGTCTAGTCTCTGGGTCATTTGAACTCCCGTACAATGAGAAACGTGGCTGCTAATTTGAATTTTCCACGATAAACAATCTCTCGAACCTTACCTCCAAACTGGTCCCAGGTGTACTACATGCAAAACATATGTTAGGCAAGGCTGGCGTTTACTATCTTCCAAAAGCCATTTTGCCGAGAACAACTGCACCGCAATTGAAGCCACAGACGTGAAGCTTAGCGTAAGAAGAAACCACCAAATATTCCGCTCTTTGTAATACTTAACACATACAAGTAAATCCGTAACAACGTCCGCTACAAAAGTTAGAAACGAGACATAGGTCCATAAGTCATCGGCGATATGAGTCGTGCGACCTTCGAACGGATTTGATCTCAGCTGTTGTGGAGTGGCTACGGCATTCTGATCTTGCAGTTTATTTTGCGCTGTTTCGCTGCCTTTAGAATTTTCCCTCTCCATGACCACTGGCTGCTTTCCCGCTCTTGGAATAACAAAATTGTTAACGGCATACAATAAGAAGTCAAAATAAAAAGTATGAGCCTTGTCAGCGGTTTTGCCAACAAAATCAGCCAGTTTCCATGTTAGCGGTTTCAAATGCATCGCTTGAAGAAGGGCCTCTGGTACTGGTACTCTGTTTGTTGTCGGTCAATAGAATTCTTGTTACTTGTGTAGCTTTTGGAAATATACCTATTCATAATGAAGATCTTCACACATATTCTTATATACAATAGGTGAGATAAAAACAGGAAACGCGAGGTTCCATGCACTTTTTCAGTTCGATTTTAGCACTGGGGTTGTAAGATTGCATATAAAGGAGGGTTATTTTTTACCCCACCTGAGTGGGTTACCTCACCTATCTGGGGTCCCCCACCTTCAGGTAAACAGGCCCTTACACGGCTTAGATCTGAAAATATTCTGAGTTTCGAGAATGTCTTATTCTCAACCATAAGAAAATATTAAATTAGAAGTTGGAATTTTTCGCTATTTCTCTTTCACTTTTTACATACAATTCATTTTATTTGCCGGAAAGTAAGCCCTAGAAATTAAAAGGTATGATCAATTCACCGTTGCGCGTTCTTTATAGTCTTTTTTCAAATTTTATAGAAGGACATCTGTGAGCAGGGAATAAATCAGCACGGTATTCATTCTCGACCCCAGTGCCTACGGGTTTGGGAATGCGATCTCTCTCCTCTACATTCGCAGCAGAGCTCAGGGTTGAGATTGCACGGAAATTGAGTGGCGGCGAATATCTGTAATCGTCTATCGTTCTGCTAGTGATAAGCTAGCCGTTGATTCACTCGTCTTGCCTGTTTAGGACATACTGAGTCTTAATCCTCCAAAGAGAAAGAAAGAGTATCTGGCAAATTGTTTCCAATCAAAGATTTGTGAACTCGTGGTGTCTGACCGGAACTCTCCAATTGTTTGTATAAACACAGTTATACGCACCTTACAACTTCATCCGACGCTTAACGAGTGTCTTTTGGTCCATAACTTTCAAAGCAGCTGCTCCACCGAGTGTCACTGATAACACTACATAACCCAGAAGAGTATCGAAGTTTGACTGTACAATAAATGTCACAAAGGGCGCTTTCCCTTAGTCAAAATTTCCGGAATTTCCGGTTCAGCGGTAACGTTTCGTCGGCTCGTCCCACTGGAAAATTCCCATAAAAAGTGGAAAATCTAAAAAGGTGGGCCCGTTTTCCCGGTTGGAATTTCCGAACGGAATGTCGTGTTCCATTTACGTTTCTCGTAGTTTGTACCAGTTCCAGGACCACGGTCGGGCACCGCGACTTACCGGGGTTTACGACCGAATGGAACAACTTTTTACCAAGCGGAAATTCCACTGTACTTTTGCTCCCACCGAAATTTCCGGGTTCTTTTCCTAAATGGAAAGCGCCCAAAATCTACCTAAGCGTCCCTTGTGGATTTTCTGTTTTACGTCATCCAAACCATCTCTTTAATACTTGCGGGCGAGAACAATAGAAACGTCATCATTACCTACCGAGTCCTCGCGGCCTCTACTCAAGCAAATCGAGATTTTTTCTGGAATACCGTGACTGTATATTTCAACTGTAGGTACTTTCCTTAATATACGCGCGAGTTACTAGAGTGCCTCCGCGGGATTTCGCCTTTTGGGCGAAATCCCTGCGGGGGCAATTACAACTGTGAGTACTTCTCCACGGGATTTCGCCGATGTGGGGGCAAAAATATACTGGACACGCAGATTCGACTCTGTTGTTCAAACGAATTTAAAAGTAAAAGATGCAATTACTGAAGTGGATCTAACTTAAGCCTCGCCCTCTTGGAGTGAAACGTGACCTCTTGTCTTCTTGACTGGGGAAGTAAGGGAACGATCGTTTATTTCGTCTCGGGCGGGGTGTGGGGAAAACAACTTTCGCTGAGGCTTAATTTTCATGGGTCAATTTTGAAATTGCACAAAATTTGAGACACATGCATGCAGGCCTGGTGTTCTATGTAAAAGTTGCCAAACTATAATTATTATGATGCCAGAAAATCCAATTTTCTTCAAGAGTGGGCAAGTAATTTCGCGCTCGGCACCCAAATTCTACCCATATAGAATTATTGAGCCACTGTTCTGGATTGCACAAAACCCCCGGGGCTTCCCTCTATGTATCTTCGCAAGGTGAGCCATCATACTGAATGCTTTCTAACAAAGCTTGGCCCATACGCACATGCATACGCCCCGCGTGCGTACGGCTGAAACCTGCAGGAAAAAAACATACAAGCAGGAGTTGTAACGGAGTTTGCCCATCTGAAGGGTACACGTCTCGCCCTTGTAACATCCTTCATGGCGTCACTGTTTCCGACCCTTTTTTCCTGACACTGGACCTTACCAATAACACTACAAATGGGTAAAATCAGTAAAATAAACAACTAATTATTGCACAAAATTTTCTGCGGAAAACGCAGGAGATGGCGTTTTTTCAACCCGGGATCTCGGTAAGAGGGCTGGAAATTTTGCCATATGAAAACTTCAGCCCGGTTATCAGGATGAAAGTGGGATGAATTGTGGTGGCCCGAATGGCATCGTCTTGCATTGCCTGCTGTATTTTCCGCATCATAAGCATCCCATTTAACTGTAGTGCATGATACAGCTGTAAGAGTTGCATTGCCAAAGCTATGATAGGGGCGAAAGTTATAATTTTTGTGTTTCGCAATGTCTTCTTTGTTTCTCGAATTTCGCGCCAGAACTCGTACCCGTGCTGAAATTTCTCATATGAATCCTAGGCGAAACTGGTCCGAGTACCCGGGCCAGCTGGGGCCCGTTTCTCGAAAGGCCCGATAACTTTTCAGGTCTGAAGGAAAATTATGAAATCAAAACCAGTTGAATCGGTAGCAAAGTTCCTAGCTCAAAAACCAGTCAATTTTGCCTCGTTAAATGATAGTTTCATTTTATCATTTTCAAAATTATTGAAACTTTGATCTTGAATGCAAACACGGTAAACATGAAACAGCTTTCTCAGCCCAAAAAGTTATCGGGACTTTTCGAGAAACGGGCTCGGCATGTGAAGAGGCTAGGCTCTTAAGGTCGCTTATTCGTTGCCGATAGACGGATAAGTGAAGTTTGAGTCGTGTCAACAACATCAAGGTGGACAGACATTACAGACTTAATGGTAGTTAGACTGAAAAACAGTCGGGTTTTTTCTCAAAATCAGTAAAAAAAGTTTAAGTGTGGGGTAAGAGTCTTACGCGTGCGAGCCTGACACGCCCGTAAGGCGTGTGAGGCGAGGCGAGAAAAAACAACCGTATCTTAAGCGTCTCTCCCCAGTCTCGCTCACTGTTTTCAGCCTCGCTCCAGACCTTTTGTTTTACTGCTCGCGCATACTTGAGTACGCAAAAATACGGACTGTTTTGCAGTCTAAATGTCGATAAATGGTAGTGGACTGTCCGGAGGTTTGTTACAGGTTCCCATGAGTGAATGACATAGTCACCGCGTCAAAAAACTATCTATTCTTTCTCGACTTTCAAGCAAGAAATAGCGATTTTAATAAATCAGGGGTGTCTTCATACACGGATCATAAAGCGGGAATCGGCGGAGTACCGTCGAACTCATTCCTCAAGGACCATCAAAGAACTTTGATCAGGGAGGAGATGGACACCATTCCTGACACAAAATTGACAAAATGTTACGAAGTCTTGAATTTGACCCAGATCAAACAGTAAACACCATGCCGCATTTGCAAAGTTGCTAGAGGCAGCGAAGTACCAATCCTGCTGTACTGACACGATGGGGCTTCACGGCCGGCTCAAGTGTTCTTTCACGGATCGCTTCACTTAATTTTGTTCTTAAATCCTAGCCTTGGTCACCCCACCATGCCAGCGCCACGTTTTTTCCAGTTCGTCCCGCACCAATAGCGCCACGTTTGTTAGGTTTCTACCCTGTGTAATATTGTGTTTTCGCGCATTTTCCGACTGCTTTTTCGTTTTTTTTTTAGTGCATTGACGTTGTAATCTTGACAGGATCAATTACAGAAATTAATTGGTAGAGTCTTTGAGATTTTTGGTGTCCCTTTTCTCTGCTATCTTTTTGTTTATTTGATAAATTTTGCGTCGTTATTCTCCGCGGTTTCTTTCGACTAACGTCCGCCCGCGAATATTACCCATGGAGGGGGTCAATTTACTCCACCCTTGATGATCTTGGACGCGGGGGTTGGGGGTGGGGATTGATTTCCTCCTCCTCCTGGGGTCATGAATGGTTGGTTTTCCTCTTTTCTGTCCAGTTGTTTGTTTGTTTTTTCTTTCACCTCGTCGTTTATCCCCCGAGTCGTTTTGCCTTGTCGCTTGAGTAACCCATTTTACGTTTAAGGAAAATTGTGCGGTGCATCTGGAGCCTTCGCAAGGCAGGTGATGATTTCTCCTGGTGTAGCATTGTCCAGGGAGCTTCCCCGTCCCTGATATGGCGAAACTAAATCCGACTCTTGGAGTTTTGTATATATAATCTTCGGTTTCGTAACCTGAATATGAGTTTCCGGCTGGTTCAGTTCATTGGGGGATTCGTTATAAGAAGAAGTGATGTCTACTTATGGGTTCGTGTTCATGGCTATCATCAGGAGCCGATTATATCATTCATAAGGAGTAAAGGTCGAGCAATTTTTTACCTATTTCAAGGGGGATCTCCAAGGAGCAGGCGATTGATTCTGATCGTCCCCCGGACCCTGCTAATGGCGTTGTAAAGTTCAAGGTCGTACTCCAACTTTGCGGAGTTCATTTCCGCCAACCGTTCTGCACTGCGTATCGGTCGGGGTACTTCTCATGGGTATAAGGGGTTCTGAGTAATGGAAGGGGTAAATGTTTAATAAAGGGTTTTGGCGTTTTCAGCCGCGGTGTGGTGTCTTCTTGGCTGAATGGTTCGGTCAGGGTTTCTTGTGCCTAGCGTAGCATAACGATTGTCGTGGGCTAGGAGCGGATTCCTCCCATAACTTAGTTTACCGTGATGCGACAAAGATATGCAGTTAGGATGAATAATTACGATTTCTTAACCACAAATGAACAATTGGGAATCCCGATCGCCCCATGTAGGGGAATCCGCATTCCGGTATAATTTTACTTATGGAATCCAGAATACAGCTCAAGGAATCTGAGCTCCACTGAGAAAGACTGGAATCCCGGTAATTGGAATTCGGAATCCACGGTGTGGAATCCAGGATCTAAGACTGTCTTGGATTTCCTTACATGGGGCGATCCATAATTGAAAAGACAGTAATAAATAATTCTAATTTTGCTGATAATTAACTAACCCTGAAGAATTTATTAGTCATCTTATTTGAAACGCTTCTGATGCTTCCACTAGTTCATTAGTTGTCATTTGAGTGGTTTCTATGCAACTTTATTACGGTCATACTCAGTAATTAATCTATTACCAGGGACAACCTTTTTCCTTCTTCCAAAATCAATTCCATGCGGGTGAGAGTATCATCTCCTCTGGCACTAGTTACATATAGGGTATATGCGCGTAGGGAAAACACTGTATTTTGCCTTGATAAATCATATTGCAGTAGTCAAGGCAGAATTACATGTGCAACTCAACCATCAAAGTATTAGCATTTTTAAAATTTTATTTAGTTTTCATTCAGGTACACACGTGCATATGGCGTACAGGTGGCTACCTCCCTAAGTAGTTGTTACTGATACTGACTCGTCCCCAGTCATCTTTTACAACTTCTCCCTAGTGGCGCGCCTGCTCCTGCCATGCACGCTACATGCAAAGACGATTGGACGAGTCAGTTGCTGATATGGGATTCATGATCTGTATCTGGCATGCATAATGAGTAGTGAATTCAACAAACAAAGTAATTTTAAAAAATTTTGCCAACTTAAGTTTCTTCTTGAATTTGAAATATTGTCTGATACAATAATCTAATTTATCATAGGTAATTTCTGATACATAGGAGTGCTATCCAATCATAAATCTGAAAGATCATTCAGTATTGTACCAAATACTGAGAAGTTTAAGTCTGAAATCCACTGCTTATTACACATGCATGGATGCAAATTTGAATTTGACTCGACACAACTAGTACAATTAAAGTGGCAACATTTATTGGCTTATTTTTTCAAGTAATCATTTTATTCACTTGATTTTGTTAGTACACTAACAAACATTTGTTTCCATTTGAAAACACCTGTCCGCTAACTTTTTCTAAACCATGAAAGATTATTTTCCTGTCCTCATCGACAAGGCATACATGTGCATGGCATTTTTGCAGAGATCTCCTTTGACAGTGCAATGTGCAAATGCTGAACAATCTAAATTTCTCTACCTCTACTAGAAAATAAATACTAAACTTGAGCTGGCCCACCTTGGAGAAGCAAGACACTTCATTTAACCTTTAGAATGCTATAAAAGTGTTTTTGGCTTAAATAACTCACTCTAGATAAAAGGACACAAGCTAACCACTCTTTTAAATTAGACGTGAAAAATGCAAGGCTTAACACCCTATAAAATATTCATTCTTTATTCGCATAGTGAAAGAATGGAATAATTTACTGCAGTATGTGTGAAGCAGAATCTTTTTAACTGTTTAAAGGGAGGTTAACGTCTTTTTTTAATATGTAAATATGTAAATAGTGATAGGTAATAATAATTATTTAAGTATTTTTATCCTTTTGTAAAAAGGTTATAGTGTAGACCTCATGTTTCCTTTTTATGATCTATTTTATTTTTATTTTCTTATCTTCTTGTTCTTGTATATTTATACACTTTTGTTTATTGTTAAACATCATGAATAAACCAGTATTGTATAAATAAAAAAAAATATCTACAAAATTATCAAAAATAGTTTTGTAAATATTCCTCAAGTGAAATTATTCACTATTCACCTGACAATCCAACACACCAATAACCTCATTCGACCAAGCCATTTGCCCAAAAATGCATATAAATAAAGCAAATTTGTGCAGCTCAATAATGCTAACTTAAAACGCAATATTTTAAACAACTAACATACTGCATTCAGTAATGAATGCTTAAAAAAATTCCATCCAGTTTGCTATCCATTTATTGATATAAATAACTTTGAAACTATAACTGAAATAGTCCTGGGTAGCAAGTGGCAAATGGTAATCCTCTAGAATACTAATAGTATCTTGCTGATTTCTAGTGTTTGTTTTATCATAGGTTGTCAACAATATCATTATATTACTTTGAAAGAACTAATTACCTGAACACAGGCCAAAAAATTGAGTTCAAAATGTGATCAAATTTCATGCCAATTCAATTTGAAATATAATAGAATTACATGCCAATTCAATTCAAATAATGTATTATGATAGAATTTCACACCAACTGAATTCAAAATATGATAAAATTTCAGATCAGGGAGTTTTCCTGAAAGTCCAGATACATTCTTAGGCTTAAAAAACTATAATTATTTTACGTGTGAAAATGCATTCACACAAAATAAATTTGTTGAGTTTTCACCTGGGTGAAATGTCCTTTTTTATATCACAATTTATTTCCCATACAAACTTTTTGCATTATGCTTCTGTTATTACAGTCAACTCTGACCTTGAGGACCCCTTGCTATAACAGACATCCTAATAATATGAACAGCTGTTCAAAGCTAAATCCCAGGTGAAAACAAATAACAGATGTTTGACTGAAATAAACCTCCCCTATCCCAGACATTCACTAATGAGGACACTAACACAAGGTCCCTGCAGTGTCCACTATAAAGAGGGTTGACTGTATTAAGAGATGTGTAAGCATGGTTGTTAAAAAGCAAAAATAATAAATTTAAAATATACTTGGCCCCTAAGACTTAACTTAACATATTAACTTCATGTATTTCTACAGCCACTCAGATCGTCTGTACATCGACTGAATGCCATGAACAATGCCATTACTACTTGCTGGCTGATTTGCTGCACTCCTCAAAGAACTGAATGCACTTTCCCTTGGCTTTCTGTGTGGCAAAATATCAACATCCATTGGTAACCTTCCATGTGCCTGTGCAGAGGCTGGGGTGTTTCTTCTTGGATCATAATAAGGTCTTTCACGAAAAGCAAAGGAAGACCTATTTTCATTTTCTTCTCCACTTGCACATTTGGTTTGAATTTCACAACAACACCACCAATAAATTGTGGCAGGTTCGTTACTTTCCATTTCCAGCTGTCTTTGTCGGACACATATTCCTTTCACTGGGATACTTGGATGATAAAAGCGGTAATAGGACACCATGCAAATGCAACCAAGTGCAAAACCACCCCAAACAATGCTAAGTGAGGCAGTCTCAATTTCACCATAAAGTGTTCTATATGGGTACCACATTACAATGAACACTGTGTTCTCAGTTAGCATGATCACATAGTATGGGATAACGCGAATGCGTGTCATGCCTGCCTTGATATTGAAAAAACAAAAGATGTAAACAAAGCCAATCACTGTGTTAAACAAATACTCTCGGCAACAATGTTTCCTCCCATATTCGTCCATACAAAAGCTAGTCTTTTGACAAAAAAGCCAAGATGTCATCATAATCCAGTGTGCTGCCATGGCAACAAACAACCAGATGGTGTAGTAAGAGGCAAACAACACCAATGCCACAACGCGAGATGCAATCATGGACATACGCCATACAATCTGTAAAAAAAAACCAATCCACGACATGCCACCATCTCCTTTTCCTAAGAAATCTCTGAGTGCTTTGGTATATGCTACAATTGCCCATCCAAGTGACACTAACGAGCTACCAGCTGCAAGGGCTGTGAAGAGATCACTTTCAATCTCAAATCTTCTGTTGTAAGCCATGATATAAAGCTGAAGGACCAGTTGAGGTGCTGATTCTAAGAAGCATTCAAACAGTCTCAACATGCAAATGTCTCTCCATTCAGCTAGGTAAGCCTCATAATCGCTATCATTTGAGTTTTTTTGGCGAGTACGCTGTCCAGCTTTTATGACACGCCAAAACCTAAAAAAACAAGATTTTTGAAATACATGTAGAGACTAATAAGTGTTGCCACTTAGTTTTGTTTTAGGTGCTGTTTTCACTTTGCACTTTGCTTTATGCTACATCTTCCAACCCCGGGGAGGTGGGGGTTACTCCCTAGTTGGCCTAAATGGGGAGGGTCCGACCCAAAGGGCTATCTTTTTCCAGGCCTCAGGTATATGAAAGGGTAGGGAAATCTGTCATTTGGGTCTGTGAAAGGTCCCAAAGGGCTAACAGAAGAATTATAGGGCTTTATAAAGTCGAAAAAAAAAAGCTATTTTTGTTCACAAAAATAGGAATCAATCAATTGATTCCTATTTAAAACAGAGTGAAAGGTTCTAAACAAGGTATGTGAAAGGGGTACCATTTGTCAATAGAAGGTAATAATAAATAAGTGTTACCTTTTTCGTGAAAAATGGTATAAAAAAGGGTAAGGGGCAAAAAACCTGTTAGAATCCTTCTTGATGTGCTCATGTGCTTAGCTTTTCTACAGAATCTTTTAATGCCCTGACATCTTCATTCACAACATTTTAAAAACCTTTTTCTCGGGCACTGAGACATATGGAAGGTTGCCATGACAATTTTGAAATTTCACGTGTGAAATTTGCAATTAACTCTGAAGTTTTGAAAGAAATTCATCACCCATGATATTACCGTAATCTGTTGAAATCCACTTTCAGGTTAAACCAGTGTCCAAGCTATTTTGAATTCAGAATTTCCTTTGTTTCCTGTCCCAAATCATTTTCAGTGATCGAGGAAACAACATTTTCAGTAAGGAAATTCTGGTTTTAACTGATAACCCGTTTCTCCTGCAAAAAGTATACTATATATACAAAAAAAGTAAAGCACAATGAAAATTATTTCTCCTTGTCTTTTTCTTACCAAGAATGATCCAGACTCTATAAATATTTTAACAATTTCCCGTGCATTAGAAACTTATGCTCACCTCATAAGAGGACCCAACTGAAAAATATGCAATAAATATGTTCCCCAAGTCAGGTCTTCATCGTCTTCGTAAAACCACTTCGCAGAAAAAACTTGCATAACAACCGACGACAAAATAACAAATCCTATTGTCAAGGAAAACCATAAATAAGAACCGTCGATGAAATAAAGAACAGACACCGCTATATCTGAAGAAATGTCAGCGAGGAAAGTCAAAACCGACGCAGCAGCGAAAAGATCCCATATTATATGAACCCTTTGCGGCTCACTTTGGTGATGCTTTTTAGTTGAAGGCTCTCTGGAAGCAGCTACATCTGTTTCGTCTGAATAATGACTATCATTAGGTGTTATAGTTCCATTGCTATGTCTCATAATTTCGACTTGGGTAGGATTTACTCTTTGCGACTCAGTCTGTTGGTACTTTTTCGTTGGACGGTGCCTTGAAGGAGCTAAATCTGTTTCGTCCTTACCATTAAATGTTATGCTTCCATTACTATGCTTTATAATATCGCTTTGCATAGGATTAATGAATATTACTCCGGAGCTACTTTCCGACATCTTGATCGGTCAGATGAGAAGAAGTCAATTGACGAAACTGAACGCGCAGTGCTGGGAACTAACATACGTGTGATAACCAATATGGCGGACATGGCGTCAAAGTTAGAGTCCTTGTGAAAATGTAAAAAGAGCTTTGTTTGGATCTGTTTGGGTCCATCACAGCGTATAAGATTCATTTAGCAAAAAATGCCTCCAAAAAAGGCATCGCCTGCAGCAAAAACAGCTCCTAAAACTACAACACAAAGGTCTGCAGCAAGGTCTACCACTAAACCCGTGCAGGGGACGAAGAAGCCAAGCACGACAGCTGCCAAACCAGGGGCTAGCGGCGTGAAGGCCGGGGCTACAGCAAAGAAAGGTGGTACATCGCCTACTAAAGGACAATCCAAAGGAAAGGAGACCTCCGCAGCGCCTCAGGTACTTGAAAATGGTCCCAGTACAAATCTGCCCCTTTTGTTTCCATGGTAACTTTTGATATCAGCATTTAACGTCATTAGCGGGGTCTATTTAAGCAATAGAAAACGTTTTCCGTGTTTGCATAGCCTGATATAAACCCAAGAGGGGTTGGGAGAATTCAAGACAGTTATGCAAACCCTGGACTTCATCTCAGGTTTGCACAATTAACTGTCTCGAATTCTCCCAACCTCTCTCCCTAATTTTGAGCCCTAATATGCTCATTGTATATAAAAAGGAATACCTGATTCCAGGTTACAAGGCAGGTTGTGCACCATGAGTGTATGAGATTGGCCTAATTTTCTTGAAAAAATTGAAATTTTATCAACTGAGAGCAGAACCCCCTGCTCCCGCCCCCCAACCAGGCCCACCCTCATGAGCACAATCATCCCATTCATTATGACATGGATGTGGCGAGGACATCATAGAGAGTCTTAAATGAGGTACAGACTGGTGTCAAACATAAGTGTCTTGTCAGTGATGAGAAACATGTACCTGCAAAAATGTCACAGCAGAAACCTCACTACATGAATGATCTAAATCATTTTAAAATTTTGGGAAAATTGTCTGCAATTATTCAGAACTAAAACACAGAAAAAGTCAATATGCAATGTTATCCTGTAGATTTGGTGATCCATTTGAGAGAGAAGGAAACTTGTGCTATATCTGGGAGAGTTGGCATACCTGCAACCCAGTTGTTAATTTCAATGTAATTTTGTAAAAATTAGGCTTATCTCTTTACTTTTTTTGACAAACAACCTTCATATTTTTAAAAGGCTAAAGGCAAGAAATGGACAAAACAGGATGAATCTGCTGTTGTCATACAGAAATATGCCAGACGTCATCTGGCTAAAAAAGAGCTAGAAAAAAGGAGAAAAGAGAAGCAGGACTATGAAGAGTTAATGGACAAGATTCAAAAGGAGGTTGGCTGACATTTCATTCTATAAGTAATTGACAGTATATTAATCAGTTAATCAGTAATGATTGTGGTTATCCAACATGATTAAAACTTTGTGTTTCTCAAAAGTTTCAACCTGGTGTCATTCAAACAAAACTAGCCAGCTTAATAAGTAGCTTGAGCAAAGCAACATCTTACCAAAAAAAAAACAGTGAGCTCCTTTTGAAGTGCTAAATTTACATTTCTTTTTCTACAAGTTTACAAAATGTGAAATGGATGTAGGAAATTGAATGATAAAGCATTGCTCTGATGTGGTAATTGAATCACCTTTTAAAACAGATTAAATTCTAATTTTGTTGTTGGCATGGATGAAACAATTGACAACAGCTTGTTGGAAGGAAATTTTATTTCAGGCCCTTGGGCCCGTTTCTCAAAAGTCCCGATAATTAACGGGCCCGGTAAGCTGTCTCCGTTTACATTAAAGATAGAGGTTTCAATAGTTTTGCATCTAACACGGTAAAACTGTCAGTTAATGAAACAAAATGGAGTAGTTTGCTAGCCAGGACCCGTGCTCTTATTCTTTATATTTCGATTTGAATATTTGATTTCGGGCCCGTAAAGGTACAGGGACTTTCGAGAAACGGGCCCCAGGTCTTGGCTTTATTGTTGGTCTTGCTTATAGTGAAGCTTTACTGAAATCCAGCATTTGTCTGTTTGAACCCCATTGCATGTAGCTGTCACTAATCTCTCCAGCATTGCAAGTTGTCAGAGGATGATACCCTTGAGGCTGTGCAATAAAGCATTATAATTTGGTTCTCTATATTTTATTAATTAACAGTAAAAAAATGCACTGAAGGCAAAGTTGAATAATTCCCAAGAGGTAGAATCTCTATAATCATGTGAGTAATATTATACTAAATTATTATAATTATTATGTTTTAATTTTGATATTGATGGCAGGCTTGGCTAAAGCTAGTGCAGATGGAACGAGAAGAAGCAGAGCGTGAGCGAAAGAAAGAAGAAGAAGAGAGAAGAAAAAGAAAAGAAGAGGCAAAAAGAAAAAGTAGAATTCTTGAAGCTGCCTTTGATGGGGATAATGATGAAATTTTAACCGTGCTAGAGGAGGTAAGGTATAATTCTGATTTTCCAGTATTACCCTTGCGAAATGTGATTTAGCAGCGGTTAATATTTCCTGCCTCTGGCCAGCACATATGCTTGAATTATTTCTTTAGTACTGTGAGACGAGCGAGCATCTGGTCATTTACATTGCCCATTAATTTACATTAAGGTACTATGGCAGGCTAAAAATCTTAAATTTTAAATCCTTGGGAAGGAGTACTCTCCAGCCCAGGATATATACATGATTGTATTTTAAAATTTCTTTTCTCAATTTTTAGGTTCCTATGTTTTAAACCCCTAAGGAATGGGGCAACCATTTTATCTGATACGAATCTGATACGAAAAAGTTGCCTATACCTTGACCTTTTTTTCCAGGCCTACGAGGAAGACTCTAACAGACCAGACCTTTCTGAGCCTGCTCGGCAATCCCTGATAACAAGACATCAGTTGGCTCTTGTGGATTGTGAGGACGCTAACAATAACACTCCTCTATCAGAGGCTGCAGGAGGAGGACATGAAGACACCATTAAAATGCTGATACAAAGAGGGGCAAATGTGAATTCCAGGGGTAGATATCAGAGGGTTCCACTGTGGCGTGCAGCATTTGGAGGACATCTTCAGGCTGTGCAGGTATGCTTTTTGGACAAATTTGTAAATTTCTGGACCATGCATGGCATGGTGGTAATGGTTTTTGTAATGATTGCATTTAATTACTGGTCTGAAAATTATCATTTGTTTTTAACAAAATAATGGTTGGACCAGTTTAATATGCCACCCAACTCATGCATAATAATAATAATGATAATAATAATAATAATAATAATAATAATAATGATAATAATAATAATAGTTTATTAACACTTCTAGCAGTTAAAAACTGAATAAACAGTGCAATTTACAATATTATTGGATACTAATAATTAAGTCTATTTACAATAATAAGTATTCAGGGTTGTCATTAAGAGCCGGGGGCCGGGGATTTTCCCCGGCTACTAAGAGAGTGGTCCCCGGCTACTTTTATTGGAAAATAGATGAAAAATAGAACCAAAAGAAATCCCAAGCCGTTTGATTCCCCGCCTACTTGTTGTATTTACCCGGCAACTTGAAATTTTAGTGACAACCCTGAGTATTACAATAATAATAATTAATAATAATTATTGGAATCAAGAAAACCTAAAAATAGAAAAGGTATTTGCTCTATTTGTCCTTTTTATCGTTGTAGTGGTTTTAGTATTTCCTGATCTTAACTGATATTGGATAGATCTTGTCATAACTTGTGGAGCTAAGAAAGATATGGGGTGGCTCTCATTCCTCATAATATCCGCTATCAACTTCTTGCATATGAATATCCTGCGATCTGCTAACGATGTCAAATTTGCTTGGTGTAGAGCTTGTTGATAACTAGAGTTTGGAAATATTATTCTTAAAGCTCTTCTTTGTATGGATTCAATAGCATCAGAAAGGTATGCAGGAATATCTTGCCATACTTGCGCAGCATACTCTAAGACCAATCTGATATTATATGTGTATAGCTTGAGCATGTCTTCTGGCATGACTCAGGACTGCGTGCTTCAACAACCCTAGAGCGTACAATCCTTTAGCCCCCTTGGTAATTACATATTCAACGTGAGCATTCCATGCATTATGCGCGAGTCTCATGACTGCAGACTAAAAAATTAATATCAATCTCATGGGTCAAGGACATGATTGGTGAGTCATGCCTGACTCTCCAATCTAAAAGATCTTGCTCATTCATTGTATTTGCAAGATGGTGGATCCACCCTATGCAGTGAGATAATTATTGATAAATCAATTAATTAATATGTACTTGAAGTCTCTATTTCTTATAAGCTTGTTGGCTTCTCAGAGATTTCCCTGCCACAGTCACACAGTCAGCAGCTGTATACTATTTAATGTTATTTACCTATTTATTATGTTTTTCATTCTACTCACTGTTATTTATTCTGTGTGGCAAAATAATAAAATAATAAAAATAAAATAAACTAGTGGAACCTGAACCTTGTTTTAACATGAACACTGTTTCACATTAGACCCTTTTAGAACATGGAGGTGATCCCAGATTAGTTGCAGATGATGGCACGAATGCAATGCAGGTCAGACTTTGTGTTTTGCTTGAAAGTGATGTTGGTGTCAACCTTTTCAGATTCAGGTTTTCAGGTCATTAAGTTTTGTTTACTGCATGGTTTTTTATGCTCCATAGGTAGCCGCAATAACAGCCGTTGAACAGATATTCCAGGATTGGGACATCAAGCAAACGGACAAATTGCTGGAAAAGCTGGATGGTGAAAGAAATGCCAAACAAGAGGAGGAAAGAAAGCTAAGAGAGGCTGAAAGCAACAGGTCAGCTGTTTAATAATAATAATAATAATAATAATAATAATAATAATAATGATAATAATAATAATAATAATAATAACAATAATAATAATAATAATAATAATAGTCCATTCAATTTAATTGGGACTCGTTCAATATAATTGGGACTAATTGCTGTTAGCCGTTATTGCCTGTTATCAGCTATTAGAGCCAATCAGGATCAAGATTATCTTTGGCTAAGAGCTAGTCTGATGTTATCAGATAACAAACCCATTAGATCCAATGGCAAGCTTGTTAGTGAATAACGGGATAACAGCTAATAATACTTCACCCATTATACCTAATCACAAGTTTGTTAGAGAATAACAGGATAATATGCTACATTCCACAAGTGTGAATTTGACCCGTGAGGTAAAAATCTATTTCATGACAAGTCAGTGCATCATTCTCGAGTACATACTGGAAGGTTGCACGCATATATCCACATTTGATCCATTAGCTGCCATGAACTCATCTAAAACTCTTTTTGGTTTATTTATCATGTTTTTGAAAATGACGTCAAAATTTTACCGTTTTCAAATTACCGATAGGCTTTTTAACCCAGCACCTACGAAACAGTGGAATGTTCAAGAATAGAACAAGAAAATCAGAAAATTACTTTATGATCTTTGAAGAAGCGTAGCTCATAACAAGCATGCAACTATCCAACGATCTCTCGATAATAGGTCAGTGATACAATAGTTGTGAATAGGAAACAGAACAAATCAACGCTGCCCAGAGGGAGTTTATCAGTTATCAAACTTTTAATTATTATTAATAATAATAATTAAAAGTCTTCATTCATCAAAAGATAGAAATACATATCTTTTGTTCCAAGTAAGTGTAAGAATTTTAAAAAGGTAAAAAGTAAGAATTAAAAAATCTAGTATATTACATAGCCTCCCCACAGATGTCCTTTGGGGTTTGTTCGTCACTCATTCATTTCTCCCCCACGGAGAAATGAATGTGTGACGAACGAACCCCCAATGGACGTCTGCAGGGAGGCTAGTATATTACATAGCTAATTCATATTTAAAAGCTAAACGATTAATAAAAGAGTTTTTAAAGTGCATAGTGTTAATCTTAGGGTTAAAACAAGTTTCTTTCCCAAGATTGTAACTGGATGGTTTAACACGAGGCATAATAGATAAAAGTGGATGTCCTTTAGCATTAGAAACTTTTCTGAAAATTTTATGGTCTTGCCTTGTTTCTGAGTATAAATTAGCCAACAGTGTTGTTTCTAGGCAGGATGAATTTAAAAATAATGGCTTCTCTGCTTGGAAACGATAACTTTTCAAACATCTGTTGTATGCATGTATGAACATTGTGAAATGCATTACTTTCCTTAAATGTAATGTATCAGTTAATTTGATGTGACATAAAGTTTTTTTAAACTTTGTGTGATATATTAATTTACCCGAACAAAAAACATTCATCTGCCAAGCATGCTACAGGGTTTGAAAAGTGCATTAATATTATCATGATGGTAGAGTTGCAGTGGATGTAAGTGAAGGAAGATGTGACAGTGGAACTTTTTGAGTCAAGTTCTCTAGTCACTCTAGTTATTATCTGTGGGTAAAAGTGATATCTATACATCCAGTGATACGAAGAGCCACAAAAAAAAGTTCTTAGCACGTTCCACAAAGAAAAAAAAAAAAACAATTTTGTTTGTTTCTGTTAAGCTGCAACTTAACATCAACATCAATATGGTCTATGTAAAAGGGGAAAATGAGAATCTCATGTAAAATGATTGTGTACTTACAGTCCCTTTAAATACTAACGTGTTAGTTTTCAGATGTGACTCAGATGTGACTTGTTTTGTCGTTGAGAGGAAAACAGTCATGTACCATCATTTCTTATCATATTAGTAATATTCTAACTATTTATTCTCTTTAGATTGGAAAAAGAATTAGAAAAAGCAGAAAAAGAAAATGAAGCACACCAGAAGGAGGTAACATATTTTGAAATGAGTCTCTTGCAAGGGTACTTTGATATTTTTGTACAAATGTGGTAAATTTAAATACTATTATCTTCCTTTCAATTTGCATGTTTTGTGGTTTCTTTTAAGTTGGCCAAAGCACACTGTGAATTGAACAAAAGGATTTTTGAACATGACAAATGCATGGCAGAAGGAATGACAGACAAGAAAGAAGTCACTTTACAGGTGTGTTGATCACTTAAGTAAAAAACCCACACTATAGCTACACAACTCCGCAGAATACTCTGTACCTTGCATATATGGACAGTGATACTACCCCGTAAGTGGTGGTCAGAGACAGCTGTTTTATTTGTATGTGCGATTACATCAGTTACTGGCCATAGCACAAAGTTGCTGAATGAGACCATTGCCTTGAGATGAAAGAGTTCATTACTATTCTCACAGGGAACGAGTCTAGTTTAGTTTGTATTATATAGACAATAAACAATTTCCCACCTCTCTGTTGTCTGTTTTTTTTTTTCTCTCCCATAAATTATCCGTGTACAATTTATGTGAAATTGTTTGTGACAGCTAAATGATCCTTTAATAAGGTCTTTTACCAAATCTAAGTTGAGAATGCACCGTGCAGCGCTTTATTCAGTGGTCATAGAGTACTAAAGTGGTGATATCATAAAAATGAAATTCCTGAAATTATGGGATTTGTCAGGATATTCTGAAAGAACAATGTCCAAGAGGCCTACTTGCCAAAAATGAGCATTTCAGGGCAAATTGTCTCTGAGATCGTAGCCCAGTTATGCTTAGAAAACTCCATACAAACCCTTCTAAATTTTTTTGGGGTCGACCAATTTTTATGACGTCACACTTTAGTACTCTATTGTGTTTCAAACTAATGTTGCTCAAGGAACAGTGAACAAAAGGCTCTATGCAAAGGACTGTTTAGAAGTGAATCGTCATAAATTGTACATGGATAATTTATAGGAGAAAATAAAAACAGATAACAGTTTAATTAAAGAGATATGAAGTTGTTTACATTGCCTAACAACAAACTGGAATCCTCTGCTCCTTGCTGTACTAGTTACAGTGCCACCAGGATCATTAGGTGGGTGTAGGATTTTGATTGGGCCAGGGGTTGGAGCGGGTAGGTTACCTCAGACACAAAGTTTAAAATGAGAATAACATCAATGCAGGCACCCAAGGTAGCATGAACCCCCCCTCCCCCCCTGCTATATCTGCCCCTGGATTGCAAGCTTTTGTTTTAATTAATTACAATGACACAGTACACTCAAGAAGACTACATAAAAACTGTTGAGAAAAGCATCAGCTATTACGTAAAAACACACAGGTTATATGACGTTGTTGTGGTCGGTTATATGACGTTATTGTGGTCGTGCAGGAATGCAAAGGAAATGTTTTTTTTTTGCAAACAAAAGGGCCTTGAAAAGACTAGAAAGTAGGTCAAAAGACTCGTAAAAGATAACGTCATCAGTGGTAGTCTAGTGGTTCTGCTGATTTGTTTCGGATTTCTCTCGATAAAAAGCAATTTACTTAACTAAACGTACTGCAAGTTGCAAAACTCATTTTTTTGTGTCTGGCACTGTTACTGTTACCACTGAAAAACCTGTCTGTGGACTACTCTGTCTTGTTTGTACGTGTATTACTATTTTGTTGTGTTGAGGAAGTCTTTACTCAATTGGTTTATTCATTTGAAGGCAATACATGATGCTGAAGCAGTGCTGGAACTTGCTAGAAAGAAAGCTGAGGCTTCCAAAGAGGCGCTAGCGCAGGTAAGATGTTGTCAATTATGCACAGCTAGCTTATCAGTGTTCCAAGCTTAAATTTTTTCAAAGTCACCTTTTGGCGACCTAAATTTACAGCAATGGTCGCCAGACATTAAATATTGGTCGCCGGGAAAGGAGAGTCACTTTAAGCACCATTACTTGGGAGTTAATAAAATTTAAATGGCTGCCAAACATTTTGGAGATGCACGCGATATCTCACAAGGGTTTAAATAACTGAACACCAGGGTGAAACAGGCAAATTATAACGATAAGAACACGTAAAAGCAATATTTCATGCAAATGATTATTTCACTTTCTCTTATTAAAAGTAAGACCATGCATAGACACCAACGTGCCGCATTACCAGCAACAAAGGTCACCAAATCGTCGGGCGACTATCGCGGCAACTTTAGTCGCCATTTTTTTTCTATTCACCTTGGCGACCAAAAAGATCGCATCTTGGAGCGTTGCTTACATAATTGTTTAAGCTTTAGTAACCCAAGTAAGTTAGGATGCTCCGCTTTTAACCGTATCCTGTGACTCCTGAGGTGCGGAATGATGAAGTCTTGTAAGTTGATTCTAACTTTTCAGTCCGTAGAAGAAGAAGAAAAGAAGAAGAAGAAAACCTCTTTAGCTGTAATTTCCAATGCTGCTATTTGTTTTTCTGCTTGCTACAAACTGCTAGAATTTAGAAATTTTGCCACTTTTAGGAAATGAGAGGGTGATGACGATATGTGTTAAGCAGGGCTTAAATTTGGTTATTGTACTTTTTTTTAGGCCAAACTAAAACTCAGAGAGCAGCATAAAACAGAGGAGCGCTCTTCAGAAGGTGAGAAGTATCCCTGCAAGATTAACAAAAAGTTAAGACTGAAAATCGAGAATAATGGTCTTCTTAAAAGACGAGCGGGCAAGATTACAATGTTTGTGCCTTATCCCGGAGTTTTCGCTCGTCATTAGCGACCTTTAGATTTCAGGACAACTAAGACGACGAGATTTGACTTAAAGATTTTCCACCCATTCTCAAAAAAAAATAGACACCCCGGAAAGCTTCATTTCACGTTTTTGAATGGGGTTGAGCCCTGTCCCAATAGCAAAATGACACCATAAAACTTCTAACATTTGATAACCTTTTGGGGGTTTTTCGCTGAAACTCGTATGACGACGGCTTCACATTTTTCCCGCCAAAATAGGGAGCTTAAGCAACGACGACGGCGACGGCTACGAAAGCGTCACTTAAAAAGTGAGTTTGCGCTGCCTCAAACTTTACCGCGCTTATTCCATCTCGTTTAATTCGTCAAATGAGTTGGCAATTTTTGGGGGGTTGAATTCTAAAGGACTGTATCAAAGTTCAGAAAAAGAAAAGGAAAGTTGTTGTTGTTGTTGTTGAAATTAGGCACTTTCACGTTGTAGTCGTGCAACGACGGCAAAGAAGTGTACAAAAAAGCGTGATGCACGTGCAAAGTTGTTGTTTTGCTAATCTTAACCTATTGCGTTATTGCCGTTCTCGTTGACGTCGCTGTTGTCGTTGTTGTGACAATGAATCACGCGCGAACACTACTTAGGTATTGAGAAAATCTCTTTCTCGTAGTCATCTTCGTCGTAGAATAATTAGAGACCTTTAGATTCTAAGTAAGACGAGGATGACTACTAGTCGACTGCAGCTTCGTCTTAAAGCAGGAACTATCATTGATGATATTAAGCCGAGTGAACATTGCTTTTTTTCTCTCAAAAGGTGCTGATTTAAAAGGGATAAAAGTAATGATAAGAGACCTTGATGACGTTTTGTTTAGAGATGTGGGCGGAAAGATAGCAGCAGACGGAAGGTACACAGCCATTGTACTCACATTTTATTTAAAAATAATAGCATTGCTACATCTATATTAGACGCAGATAGTTCCATAAACCAATCACAACTCGAAGCAAGAATTTGCACGTGTATTCGGCACCAATCACTAACTGGAAAAGTCACGGTTGGATTGGGTTTGTCAGTCTTTACCAAATGTTATCAAATACTTTTTTTTTACTACTTTTATTTTACTTTTTTTTTTGCAGATGGCCACTGTTGATCGATACATCCGCACAGAGTTCCACTTTCTTGCGTTACCGTGACACGAACTTCATGAACGCACTTAATCCTAACCACATGCAGCCTGAAGTGATTCGTATGAGTCTCTTGGGGGCTTTGAGGTCTGTAAAATAAACCAGGGTGACTGTCTTAGTATACTTTTTTTCTCGGTTGCGTGGTTGCAAGCAAAAACGACTTTTCATGGGCTCTCAGCGAAAGCTCTACTTTTGGTAATAGAAGATTTTACTCACTCTTGGCGGGAACGCTTCTTCGGACAGCCGAACTCGTACGAACGGGCCGCGAGCGCATGATTGCCTTCGGATACCCTGATCGTCCCCCAGCACGCCTAAACTGAACCAGTCGCTTAAAATGGAGAGGGGGAACGTCTTTGACTGTGATTTTTAGAAGCGCGTTTGCTTTTCATTGACGTGCAACATAATATTTTGTATTCTTCTTAGAATGAAATGATCACTTAGGAGATGTTACGCTGGTCGGTTTTGATCGAATTTTACTTGTTTGTTTGTTATAAATTCTTGTCTGACTAGTTTGGGCCAAATTTTACCTAATTCACGCCACAGACATCCCAAACTCATTAAGCGAGCGCTTGTTAGAGATTAATACTTCTGGTAATGTTGCGTAACTAAGCGATTTATAGGGTTTATATGGAAACAGTAAAAATTCGAAAAACTCTTCTTATCTTAGCTTATCACAAAGAAACGAAATAAAATACACTTGTGCAGTATTTTGTGGCCTTGTGTATTTCTGAGGCGATTTGGGCTGGTTTTGCCATCCTGTAGTCCTAACTTATAAGACAGAATGGCAGAAGCACACTGAAACCAGCCCAAATCGCCTTGAATAAAACACAAGGACACAAAATACAGCACAAGTAAGTGTATTTTATTTTGTTTCTTTACAATAAGCTAAGATAAGGCGATTTTTTCCCAGTTTTTTCTGTTTCCATATAATCCCTACAAATAGCTTAATTCATTACTGACGCAACATTACAAGACGTGATAATTTTTAACAAGCGATGGCTTAATGAGTTTGGGATGCCTGTGTTCGCGCCAACTGACAGTATTACTAAGACCTACTGAGCCGAACCACACTTACAGAGTGACAGCTCAAAGAGGTCCGAGAATATCTTCTTTAGACATATTTCGCTGTGTTTTTAAGTTGCTCTGATGGCACGCATATTGGTTTACGTTGTTGTAGGTATGGAAAGCCAGCTGTCTTGGATATGATGGACGTCGATATGTTTGAAACTGCTGCCATGAAGTTTGATGAGGTCCAAAAGGGACTTATGGCTTTACTAATGAGCAAAGACCTGTTGAAGGACAACAAGTAAGTATGGAGTGTTTTCACATGACGTCACGGCGGCCATATTGGTGTCCCAAAACAATGAAATGGCGGCCATGTTGGTGTCCCAAACCAATCCTGTGGGAGTTTAACTGTTTTCTTATGCAAACGCTTTCTTTTGTTCTAATAAATTTGCGTAGATGCTGGCCACGTGAGTGAAAACACTCTATATCATGATTTAGTATTTACCCAATCAGTGAATAGCAATTTTCGCGCGTTTTGATTGGCTCCCGTAACTTGGAATATCCTTGGCTTTTCACTGTTTTGCGACCGGAACCAAGATGGCGTCTCGTTTCAAGACATTTTCGGAAGATGGAATTTGAGCGATAAATGAAGCAGTGGTACAAAGAAAAACCAAAAAAGGTGACAAACGTTTCTTGTCGGTGTTTACTGGTAGGTAGAAAATTATTTTCATGTTGAATTTGCAACAAAAGTCGTTAAAATCACTTTACAAAGCCCCGGAATGTTTGTAAATGAGTAAACAAAGTTCCTACTAAGTGAAGTTTTTAATTTACAAAGAGTTATTTTCTTCATTTCTATCCAACTGATTTGGTAAATACTAAAACAACTATTCTCCTCAGGGTCGGTGAACAGCGCTAGATATATTCCTGGACCCTTCGCGTCTCGGTATATCCCCACACCACTATTCACCTCCCCGTGGGGGAATAGTTGTATAATAGTTGTAATTGTCAGTTAAGCGTTGTGCTATGGGAAAAAAGGACAAGGATAATTCAAATATTGGTCACGTTCTTCCCAGGAAACTAATCATATCTCGAGGCAAACTTTTGAAGGTAATGCGAATCGCGGGAAATGTGTTTGTTTAAGACGCAACTTCACTGATTTTAACGGTTCTGATCGGTTGAGAAAGTGACCGAGTATCTGGGGCCTATTTCCCGTAAGCCCCGATAATTAACGGGCCCCTAAATCTGTTGTTGTTTACATTCAAGAAAGGGGTTTCAACTGTTCTGCAGTCAACATGATAAAACTATCGGTTATCATAACAAAATGGACTGGCTTGTAATCTAGGCTCCGCTCTTTTTTCGGGCCCGAAAATGGAGAGCGCAAATATTGATCCACAAAGTCGAGAAATTTTACTGACATTTGTATGTTGGGGGCACGAACTCTTTCTCCACCATACAAACTTCTGTAAAATTCCGCGACTATACGGAGCTATATCATCGTAGTTTTTAACAAATCACTTTCACACCTGGCACCTTTACTTATTTAAAGGTGTTCTTTCCAAACATGTTGATGGATTTTCGCTCTAACTTGTCCCAGTCAAAAGTTAAAAAAGTCCGCGCGATTTGTGAAAGCACAAGATACAGCTAAGTTGAACCGGGAGTATGCTTTTAGTTATCTTATACTGATCTATATATTTTTTAAGCTTGGGTTAATTCAACATGTTTTGCGGCATGAGTGGGGCGTAAGTTTCAAACCAATTTTACTGTTCTTGTCGTCTTACCTATTACGAATAATTTCATTCCCTTCGTTGTGTAGATTTCTCGAGCTGGTCCGGCCTGGGGATGGAGAGGAATACAGCAAGACAAGTTTCCTTGGAGCAAGAATAGAAAAATTTATGTTTATTATAATCACTCAACAGTGGAACCCACCAGAGCGTTTGATGAACCAGACATATCCCATTCGGGTCATCATTCCATCTAGACATGATGTGTGATAAATGAAGTTCAGTGTTCTTAAAATTCGAGAAAGGGAAGGCAAAGAAGAAGCACCAACAAACAAAGAAACAAGAAGTCGTGGGAACCTCCGGAAAACGATGTACAGTTCAAGTGTTAGTGACGTTCGCTTGAGCGAGATGACAAGAAAGGAGCCTCGTTAACGAATTAATAAGGGCTTACGGGACAGTAGCCTGAGAAAAAAGCCGACATTTTGCGATGCCACTTCAGGTTTCCCCGCTACATGACGTCCGAGGAAGAAGCGCAGAAATTTCATACTGATGACGTGTCACTACCCATATCTGGGTCGTGCTTCCGATTGGTTGGAGCAAATTTCCCTCCCGACACGACCAATCAGAAACCCCTCCTAGATCTGGGTAGTGACACGTCATCAGTATGGAATTTCTGAAGTCGTTCCTCAGACGTCATTTTTGCCGGCAAACCAGTGGTAGCGTCGCGAAATGACGGCTTTTTACTCAGCCTGACGGGGAAATCAAACATGGAACAGTATAACGCCAACTGCCTAGACCCACACAGTATTTGTGTGTGGACTCTTCAAGGATCATTTTACCCCAATAATGGACCAACAAATTTCGGCGGCTTCCAAAGGCAGGGAGGGTACGTTTTCTTCTAGATAATAAACGGCAACTTGGCGTAACACTCTGTTACTGAATTAGAATGAACCCTCTCAAACCTTGAGAGTAATGTGGAACTCAATGCCCAACCTGGCTTGTTCAGCTCGTTGTTACCTAATTCTCATTATTATATACATACTGAGAAATACTCACCAAAAAGCTATGTCGTAAATTTTCGTACGTTAATTAATTCTAGCCAATCAGAGGAGCGAACGATGGTTTTCACACGTGAAAAAAATGATACGTCCAATCAGAATCGCGAACGATGTTTTTTCACGTGTGAGAAAAATGATACGTCCAATCAGAGGCCACAGAGGTGTGTGAGTTTCGCGCCAAAATTCCCGCCTTTTATTGCAGCTTGCAGCGCCGCTTCGCACACATTCAACGAGAAAAGTTTTACTCAAAGGCTTTTTCTCGCTACAAAAGTGAAAAACATTTCGGAAATGGAGTGGAATAGTTTCGTTTGTTTCACTGTCGATAAAGAAAACGGTAGAGAGCCGGCGAAACAACAGCGGAAAGGGAAAAACAGAACGAGACGTAAGCTTTTGTTGTGCTTTTTGTCGGAGCTACTTTGCCTTTCATTTAAGCTTAAGCTTATATTGAAACCGGCCATTTTACTTAAATTCACTCATTTTCAATTGTGCATTGACAACAAACAGTTAAGATTACTTATAGTTCTTGGATTACCTCATATCCTTACCGTCATTTATGTTTTTAACAAAGGTTTTTACTAAAAAGCTGATACTTCGTTTTCGTTGTCATTTTGCGGCAAGTGTGTAGCGGCAAATAAGCATTTTTGAAAGATTTAAAATAAAAAGGCCGCCAAAATGATGAATGTCTCGGTATGTATATAATAAACACAATACCACATGGAAAGTGCTTTGTACGATATTTACGCACTCGTTGTTTTTGTATCAGAAATCTTACTCGTTCGCTGCGCTCACTCGTTCGATTTCTGATACGTCAACAACTCGTGCGTAAATACCGTACGCCAGCACTTTCCATGAAGTATTCTCTATTTCCTAGCTAGTTTGCTCTACCTAATTGTTAATATAAGTCGGTTGTACCGCTAGAGTGAGTGCTGAGAGCGTCTGACATGTGGAAATTGTCTTATAATTACACGGAAATGCGACTATATGTACATCCGGTTAATGACCCCGTTGCGTCGGACTTGTAAACCAGGATGACACCAGCGTAATCACAGGAACCAATAGCTTACTATGATATGCTTGGGTCCCACCGGCTTACACGTAGGTTTTTACGAGCCTCAAGCTTGGTAAGGACGATTAGAAAATGCTAGTGTGCCTCATAGCGTGCCGCACTTTGCAACGTAATTTAATGGGCCGAGTTTTGCAAATTTAATCCCGGCGTTAGCACAATTTTTAGCCAGTTGTAAGGTGGGTACTATAGGAGCGAATGAAAACACACGTTTTTTGTATTTGTGCCCGGTAGCAAATTCGAGCTATTCAGTAACGTGTTGTAAACCTGATAGCTCGGCGGCTGAAGAGGAATAATGCATGGAGAAAGAATAATGGACATTTTTGAGGTGAAATAATAAAGATATGATCAAGCTCCTTTTGGGTGGAATAAAGGACAAGTTTATGGGTATTTTCCATCATCCACGGCTTGATTACCCAAAGATTTGGAATTATTTTGCTGGAACATAAATGGCTTAAGCGAAAGGTAAAGTTTTGGTTAAAAAAGGATATAATAATGTTTTTCCTAATTTTCTTGAAAAAATAAGACTCAGTGACCTTTTACTCCGCTTTGAACTTTGAGACTTCAGTGCGCAATTTTATAAACGCTACTAAGGCTTTGGTCGGTGTCAAGTGCTTGTTATCGGCGGAGACATTGGCCAAAGTGCGTTGGGCGTGTAAAAAAAACATTTTGTTTTATTGGCGCGATTACAGGGCGCAGTTGCTCAAAGGCCGATTAGTGCTTAACCCAGATTCTTTTTCTTCAAAAACATTTCTTCGGTTAATTTTCTCTGTTTTTTGTTTAAGAGCATCCAATCACCAACTTGTTGACAAAATGAATTAAATTGAATTTACTGTTTTAAAAGCTTTCACATCTGAATTCAAGCTTCGCACTAGCCTTGTAAAAGCCTTCAGTGGAATGTGTGTGCGGCTCACGTCAATAACTTTTCCAGAAATTTGGTCGAGCGTCTTGATTTCAGTGACTCGAGAGTGGCGTTACTGTGGGCTGTTTTATGAGTTTTTCCTAATAAATAACATAGAGTTAAAGTGTTCGTTGGTTTGTCCGGTGCCGAAAATATAACAAGTCATGATCAAATGGCGCCGCCGAGCTTCACATCTCGGTAGATTTACTTTGTGGCACAACGGTTGCCGAGCTACACAACTCCGTAAATTCACTTTGCGGTACAACGGCCGCCGAACTAAACCAGGTTTGATGCATGCACCAGGAGTCGCAGACATTTTCCAAAGACAGTGACGAACCATGATGAAAAAAATGAAGGCTTAATCCAAAGTAAAATTTAACAGCAAACTTCTGAAAGATGAACGCTTTGGACGATTCAGCAAACACAGATCGATGTACGCTTAACGAAGATTCAGCAACCTTTTCAAAAGATGAACGTTTTTCGAAGACAGAATATCAGACCTCAGCAAACCTTTGAAAGGTGAACGCCGAGGACATAAGAATCACCACGTGAGCTAGCGAGTCAAAGTGAGGCGAAACATAAGCAAGCGCCTCAAAGCGAGGCAAATGTGTGTCCACGACGAAAAAACCTCCCTCATTAAATTGCACAGGACACCCAACACAAATTAGGGTTGCGTTCTCGTACCTCGAACGCAATTATTATGGTTATTCTTTACTATCGTTTCTTTTGTATGCATCTATGCAAATGGTAATGCAATTGAACAGTGTTGTTGTTGTTATGTTACTTGACTTAGTTACCTGCAGTAGAATGTGACGCCTCGTCCGACCTCCCCTCCTCTTTTAAACTTGTCACATAGTATGTAGTGTAAGAAACTTGCTTCGATTTAATAGCGCTATTAGCTAAGTAGTATTGGCCCCCACATATTACTATTAATAATAATAGCATACTAAGACGGTTCATATAACTTCCGTTTACAGCATGCTTCAACCATTACTCACTTCCTTTGGATGCTAAACTTAGGCACGAGAGTGCTATATAAGCTGTTTTTTGTTAGGTGTATTCGACTCAGACAGACGAAACTCGTCAGCAGGAATAAACAAAATAAGGTTACATTATAAGAAGTCTTTCTTTGCGCTGCTTATTTCAGTTTATGCGCTGCAGTCTCCAAAATGCAGTCTGTAGTAGAAGCTAACAACAAATTCACTATGGATCTTTATCAAGCTCTCCGGAATGATGAAAAGTTCACGAATCAAATCTTTTTTATTCACCAAGCAGTTTGAGTACTGCATTGGCCATGACGTTCATGGGAGCTAGAGGAGACACAGCCAAACATATGTCAGAAGCTCTCCACTGGGAAGCCATGACAAGCGATCAACTGCACGATCAGCAGCGACACTTCCTCGATGCGCTACAAGAATCGAACGCTGAGGGAAACGAATTATTGGCCGGGAATCGACTTTTGTGCACAAAAGTTTAACTATCGAGCCAGAGTTCCTCGATGGAACAAAACAATTCTATAATGCAGAATTGGCTTTGGTTGATTATCAGAACCATCCAGAAGGAGCTAGGAAAGAGGTGAATGACTGGGTGGATAAGAAAACAAAAGAGAATATTAAGAATTTAATTCCTGAGGGGGTGTTTAACTCACTCACTGTACTGACTCTGGTGAATGCCATATATTTCAAGGGAATTTGGCAAAATCAGTTTGCACGAAGAGCCACTCGTTCAAAAGATTTTTTTGTTTCTAAAAAAGAAAAGGTAAAAGTGAAAATGATGAAGCTGAAGACAAACTTCAAGCACATTGCAAATGGTGGAGAGCTTGGCTGTCAATTGCTGGAGTTGCCTTACCAAGGTGAGGATCTCTCGATGTTCATTTTGTTACCCCAAGACAAGTATGGGCTGACCAGTGTAGAGGCCAGTCTCACCCATGACAAGTTACAAAAGGCTATTGCACTAACACAAGTACAACGTTCACGCGGAGTGAAGGTGTACTTGCCACGATTCAAGATGACACAGCAATTCCAGCTGAATGAGCTCCTAGCGAAAATGGGTGCAATAGATATGTTTAACGCGAACAGAGCTGACTTTACAGGAATTTCAACTGGTCCTGAGAGGCTCCATGTATCCCTTGTCATTCACAAGGCATTTGTGGAGGTCAACGAGAAAGGTACAGAAGCTGCAGCACCAACAGCCGTGGTAATGAAGGCTAGATCGCCATTTGGGGGCTCGGCAAAGATTCCCGTCTTTTGCGCTGATCACCCCTTCCTGTTCTTACTTTGTCATAAAAAGTCAGGTGGCATTTTGTTCATGGGTAGAATGGTGAAGCCTGAGCCATTAGACTGAGAGTAAGAAGGAGCTAGTTCTGGATTAATTAGGCGTTATCACAGTTATTCCTTATTGTTGCGTTTCTTTTTTCTTTTGAGACGTAAAAACAAAGTTCATTTCTGAGAAATATTGCCCCATAAATGCAAAACATATATTTGAATACCACAGGAGGTC